ACTCGTCAAATATTACGACCTTCGTTCAAAATGTTTAATGAAAAACTGATAATAAAATTTAATAAAAATATATTTAAATACAACTCAGCTTTTCTTTATAGCAGGCATTTCAAATTCAAAAAGATAAATAAATCAACCCCCATCCAAGTTTTGTTATTAGATAATAATAATATTTGATGAATAAAAGCCCAAATAATACCTTTGATTTTCGATCTTTCTATTTTAATTTAAATATTGCAAAATGAGTTTTGCACATTTCTAGGTAGATTCATTTTTATGCATTTTTTTCTGCAATCTGTATATATTATTATATTAAGCAGATAATGCTGACAAATATATGGTAAGACAAAATTGGTTACAAATTAGTAGATGCACCCAGTGGTGTATTTACTAGTGTTAATTATGATATAACAAAAATACTAAAAACAAGAGAAAAAATAATAATAATAATAATAATAACCACGCAAAATTATCATCGAATCTTTATCAACCGTAAGAAGCCCCTCTGGAAGGTCAAATTCTGGCTAAAATACTGCTCCAATTGCGGTGTAAAACGATTCAGAATGACTTTAAACTTTGATAGTATATAAAAATAGCAAATCAGATTTTTTGCTAAAACATAAACTTCTCCTTCGATAACTTGAAAAGAAAAGCATATAAAGAGCAAATAATAGCTTTGTTAAATAATTCTGTGATATAATTCAGAATTCAATTTTATTAATTAATTTAATTAGAATATTTTTTTAAAAATTTTATATCCTTATACATATAATTACACATACACAATAAGTAGCGGGATTAAGCGATCAGTTTGAAAAATATACTCATATCTGCAATGAGCATCATGTCTAATTTGGAGTAAATTGATAGATATGGTATGACAATTTTTGCTTATTTTTCTTCTTAACATAAATATTAGTTTCTTTCAATATTTGTTTTATTTATGAATCCATTGATATGGATATTAATATTTTGCTATAATAAAGTAAAATTTAATCAAAGCTAATGCAGAATTCACATTTTCGTGATCCATAGTTTTAATCCAAAAGGTCAAAGGAGTGGTGCTTCATTGCTATTATTTCAGTGGTACGTTCAATAAAAATTTATTAGCTAATGGATTAATGCACAAATATATTTTAGAACAGCATTGATGCATAGAATACTTAATGACATATGAATTATTAAAAACTTAAGTTCAATCCAGAGAATGCAATACCAAAATCATTGGAAAAGATTTACTGATTTTAATAACAGTTAATATTTTATTAACTTTTTCCAACATTATTTAAATTGCTATTAATGATTACACGTTTTATGCATACTTTTATTTCTGAAGGAACTTTTTTTGCAAATTCAATATATCTTAGCAAACATCCTAATAGTAATCTTCTCAGCCCAATATAGTGTGTTAATCTTCTCTACTAATTTAGTTAAAATAGATTATTCTTGCATGAAAATAATTTCAATTATTCATGAATGATTGAAAAAGGATCCTTTGGGGTTGCTGCAGAAAACTTCATCATTTTATCGAAAATTTTTGGATTTTGTATACATTTTATTGTTTGTTATATTTTAGTGTTTCACTGTCAATAATAGGGAATGTATATAAGTCCAGTCTTAATGGTGAAAACTTATTCTATTCTTGTGAGTAAATTATTATTATTTATTGAAATCATACAGATATCTTGGGGAACTCTTGTTTCAACATATCATGCCATGCTTCTAAATGTAAGTAAAATTATTTTGATGAAAATAACCTTCATATCACTCGTAAAGCATTATGGATTACCCATTATATTTAATTAGGAACTTGATAAAACAAAGGAAATAAAAACTGGGCTAGGTCAAATATTGTGAAAGGTCAACTGATGTATGATTATAGTGTATAATTTACTAGGAATGCCTTTCGTGGATATTGCTTCCGCTACTTATTTAATAGATAGCCAGCCTTTGGTGTAAGTAAATGTATGCTAAATATAGTAAATGTCTTGAAGAAATTTTGTATTATTTTCACGTAGTTAGATAATCGCGTTTTGGAGCTATATTTGCACTATAAAATAATTGCTTATTTGTGAATTTTTGCGTGTCGTTATTAATTTATAAGGAGCACAAAATGAAATGAATGCTAGGTTAAAACAAAAATTACTATTAATTTTGAAAATCTAGTGAATTTAATACTAATAAGTAAAATTAAATCAAAATTCAACCAAGGGGAGAAAAAATAGGGTTCTTAGCAAAAAAAAACTTTAAAGATCATTAATGTTTTACTAATATTTCAAATATGACAAATATATAAACACACACATATATATATATATATATATATATATATATATATACATATATATATATATATATATATATATATATATATATTATATATATATATATATATATATATATATATTGTTCCATTACCTTTATTTTTAGCTTAACTATTCATGCGAATACTAGGAAACTTTGGAAAGCTTTTAAGCCTATTACAAATATTTAAGAAAAAGTTTCGAGTTCTAGCTAAATTATTAAATATGACCTCACGCTAAGTACATTATCGCATGCATTTTCTGGATTAAAAAGAATTTTCAATGCTTTGCATATATCTCGAATCAGCAATTTCTTGATGTGCGAGAGGGATTAAAAACAAAATTTTGCATTTTTATTTGTGCTTTTAATTGTTATCAGAAAAATCAGTTCTGCTAAAATTTTAAAATTTAATAAAAAATATATAAGATGTTACTAAAGTCGCTGTAAAATATGTGATATTTATTATATAATGCCAATTCGTTCTCAAAGCGTCGGTTTAGAGTAATGTTTTGAGATCCATCCAAATTTGTCTTAACAAGTGATGGTCAATCCATACATCATACGAATAAATATATACATTCGCACATACCCACTTTTTTATTAATGTATGCCAGTAATTGATAATTTCAATGAGTTACTTCTTGATAAGTGATATTATAATATTATATTCCAGAATAGATATAACAAAGGCTAAATCTCAGCAACACCTGGTGATGAAGATGAGAGTTCCAAAAGCAAGGAGAATGATTCTATAAATATGTCCTGAGAAGTTTATCTTGGTAATGTAATTAATGTCTTCAAATATGACATGATCGGTTTGTCATTGTAATTAGCATTTAGAAATGAGAACTTCATGTAATCAAAACTAACATACATTCATTGACTGCTTGTATTTTTTTTACTTTTTCGCTGGCGATATAATCTCATTCTTTAAACAGCTGTAATATCTGTCTTGTATAAAAAATATTTTCCATTTTCATAACTTCAAAGATTTATAGAAACAACGAATAATATAGAAATAATTTCTAATCAATAAACTGACTATTCATGAATTTTATTAATCAATATTTTCAAGGAATAATGTAAAATATTCTTCTGATTCAAGCATTTTTCATTAAATCATTTGTACTACGTTGTAACTTTAAAATGTTTATTTATCTATGCCGATTTTCTTGTAGATATCGGGACTCATACAACATTGATGCCGGTACGCATACAACGACAGATCTCTATTTACATACAGGACGACTAAACACAATCGATCCTTATTGAAATGATTTCACCAAGAGCGAATGACGTACAGTTCTGGCGTAACGGACTTCCGTTGCATTTGTACGGATTTACACCCTAGTCGCGCCTATAGAAGTTTTACTTCAAAAAGTTATCTTGAGTCATCTATTATAGAACAAAAATGTCTTAGATTTCATTACACCACGTTCGAAGAAAATTTTTTCATCGGCGTTAGTGCTTAAAAAATCAATTCTATCAATTCAGATCTCCGCAATAGAGTGGCGTCACTGCTCTTTAACTGCATTCTTGTCTACATACAATCAAATCCTGTAATCTCCGTACAACCCTGCATAATATAGGCAAACAAACCTACGCTCCCTCTTGTTTTAAACCTGTCGGGGCACGCTTGCGCCCTAGTTCTTTCAAATGAACTCTCCGGAGTTTCCGTCTCAAGACTTTGCGTGAAGCACACGCCTCAGTTCGATAAATATACGGAAACAGTCAGTGCATATGGTCAACAATAATTCACCAAGATAATATGAACCTTATGGTTCGATGTCTGAGATATCGAGGACTCATAAATCGAGCAAAGACTCAGAGGAGAAACGAAATATTTGAGAAGATTGGCATATTTTCTTAATCTTCGAAATCGGAGTCAATTAAATTTTTTATAAATCAACATCTGTGACAAAATATATTCACAACAAAGACCAAGAACAAATGTGACTTAGAGCTATGGTAGCTTAAATTCAAATCGGGAACAAAATAGTTTGTGAACAAAACACATTTCATAAATTGTTAATATTTGAAGTGACTAAGTATTTAGTAAATCTCTATAAATTCTTTACTAATGATGTATAATTCATGTTAAACTTGTGGTGAAACAAATTCATCAATGTTTCCTGTGATATGGTACAAAACCAAGAACAAAAGAAAGGATGCTGCCGCACATCATAGTGCGTGTTATATAGACTTTCTGGTATCGTAAGATTAACAAAGTTAACATAAGTATTCAAATATTTTTAGTAAAACTGTAGTTTATTTATATAATGTGTATATTACTTATATAATGTGTGAATTAATTATTGGTGAACTAAATAAAATACTCTGCCCTGTTTTGAGATGATGCATGAGAATGGAACTTCTTGTCATTACCCTTGTTAAATTGCAAGAACAAATTAAATGATTTTGATAAACTAAATAATTGTTAGATGCCGATTAGAACCAAAGAAACAGTGATAATAAAACAATATATAACAACAATAGTTGAAAATAAATTGTGTGCTTATATTTTACTGCACCCAAGAATAAAATCGTCAACATCATCAAATTATTCTAAATAAGTTTGAAGAGAAGTATGAAATTTAAGAAGCGTTGAAACCAGATACATACAAATTATCACCTTTGAATGAACACCTTATAGTAAAGTATTTGTTATCAAAATAGCATACACAAAAACCAAAAATATGAGGGGCATTTCCGTTTACATATTTCATTTCTATACCTTAGTTCAATTATTCCTGGTAGTTGTTTCCCGTGAACCACCCATTATAAATCTACCAGAACAAGGCACGATATCAGGAATGTATATGTCAATGTTCAGAGTACAAAAAATCGCTGCTTATTTAGCAATTCCTTATGCTCATCCACCAATTGGTCAATTGAGATTTGCTCCACCCAGTGTTGACCCACCGCCCAGCTGGGATGGAGTCAGAAATGCTACCAGATTTGGTCCAGATTGTTGGCAGATGACCGAAACTGAAGAGGAGGAAACATTAAATAAAAAGTATCAGAATATCATAGATGCTTTGCTTCAGAGAAGAGTTAGAGAAGAAGATTTGCCTGAGGAACCGTATGATGAAGATTGCTTGCTATTGAATGTTTATGTACCAGATGGTAAGTGATTTGAACAATGATATTCAAATTGATGGAACCAAGATTTGTTATTAATTTGTGTTTGTCTTCCGAAAACATAAAGACAAAATATCTATAATTACCAAATGTTACCAGAAATAAATACTTCTAATCTAAATAATCCTGATCATTTTTGTTCTGATTTTAATTTACTATTCAGAACACAAAAACTATTTATTAACAAATCTATGACCTATAAATCCAATATTTAATTATTATTATTATTTAAAATTATGACGATTATGACGATCAGGACACATCGTTCCTATAAGTTCGAATACCATATTTAATTTTTATTTCGAAATTGAACCTTTTAAAGCTTAATTTTCTACTTCAAATAAATATTTTCAACCTCTCAGATAAATCTTTAATTTTCAATTTCCAATTTTATTTTGCAGATGATTTGATGAAGATTTTTCTTAACTACGCCTATCTCTATTTTCACGCGGAAACATTTTCATCTATATTTTTAAGTGAAAAATCACTACAATTTGTAGTCTACAAGTGATTAACAATTACCTAATAAATTTAATATTTTTCCTTTTGTGAAAATTTTCCTGCAATGTTCGTGCAGAGAGAGTTATAAATGAACAAATTGGCATTTAGTAGCTGAATACTAAACACAGTAAAACCGTGAAAAATAACCACTAGACACTAATCGGAAGACAAATAAACCACTAATTGAACGGATTTACACGTGAATATCATATCATGCTTGTGTTTTCATGATGCTTATATTTTGATTACATGTTTGTTATTAATTTAGCAATTTTTGAAATGTTGATTACTAATATAGTATTGATAGTATGTTTGTTATTAATTTTGCAATTTTTGAAACGTTGATTACTAATATAGCATTGATACATTCGCTTAATTGTGTCTTAACCATATACCTTTAGAACATCAACTACAATTAGAAATGTTCATGGCGTCCTATATATAAGTAGTATGATAGTATAGTATAGTATTGATAGTATGTTTGTTATTAATTTTGCAATTTTTGAAACGTTGATTACTATTATAGTATTGATACATTCGCTTAATTATGTCTTAACCAAGTACCTCTATAACATCAACTACAATTAGAAATGTTCATAGCGCCCTATATATAAGGCCCAGGCATTGAGAAATAGACTACAATTTTTAAAAAAGTAACACTAAGTTAAATTTAAAAAAAACTGCTCTTTATAAACATAAAGTATCTCTTGAAATAAATAATTATTAATTAACACACACTCGAAAGTCATTTTTATTAACAAAATTTCAAAATTATCATATAAAAATATTAAGTAAAAATATTTGTTTGTACCTAAGGATGTTGAAATGATCAAAACTTTATTAAATAAAACAGCTCATTACTATAAGTCTCAAATAAAATACGTAGTTTCAAGTCACATTCAATTAATAATAATGGGTCTTAAATTCTATAAAGAGCTTTCAAAAAGCTCGCGCCCTTGACAAAGACCTACATGAAGTTTTCGCGACTATCTTTGACAATCGAATAATCGAATGCAAACTGATACTCTGAATTTCAATTGAATTTTGTGAACAAATTACAACTATATTTTGACATTATGTATTTTAAATATTTTTCTCTTTGTTAAGAAAAATATATCATCTACTTTGGTGGGAAAGTATTTAGTAAATTAGAACAAACCTAAAAATTAGAAGTAAGGTTAAAATTTCTGTAAAATTTTAGGCAAATTGAGTTTTTTGTATTAAATATTAAATTATATATATAGGCGAGAGCGAGGCTTAAAAGTTAGGTTAAAAAGGTTCACCGCCGATATCTCAGAAACAAGTGAAGTAAGGAATTTTTTTAAAACAATATTTGAAAGTAGAGCGAAAAAAAGTTTAGTTAGCCATCGTCTTGATTCTTACGACGTCGCTATAGTAAAATAAGAAGCAATGTTTGAAAATCTATAACAAAAGTATTTTCTTTAGTAGTTGATTTTTTTGGTTGTGAGTTGTTTAGTTTAGTTAGCGATATTTTTTAGGTTTACGTTATTTAATTTTTTTATAAGATGTTCTGCTAATTTTAAGTTAGATTCAACAGCCCTTTACTAAACATAGTCAGATAGTTGTTTGTTTATTATGTGTAATTTGTTGTGATATAATTGATGTGGCTTTTAAAATATAATTGCTCAAAGTCAAATTGGACCTTTGTGCCTCGCCCTACCCTAACAATGGAATTATCATCGAATTGCATTACAAACTTACAAACTATCGAATATCATTACATTTTTTATTTATTTATCTAAGAATTTGTTAAAATTTGTTAAAAGCAATTATTTTAGTATGGAAGATAGTTAATTGTAAAATATTTATATACTAATTTTATCTATTATTCTATCTGTCAGCCGATTATTTTCTAAATCAGTGTTAAAGATTAATAAATTTTTCTCAATTAAATATATTTATAATTTCTGAATTAGTACTTGCATTAGTACATTTGCAGAGTTATAATTATGTATAAAAAGTAAAATTTCATTGGTATATAGTACGGCAATATAGATAAATTTTGTTAAATTTAACTAAAATAATAAATACTTAGTGTTCTATTGTAATTAGAGACTTATACAGTGAGTAAAGCATATCAAAAAGTAGAACAAACCACTTAACTTACTTAATAAGAATTGCACATAATAATCATTTTGTGTGCTTATATATAATTCTAAGAAAAAGTTTTCATAGTTGCACTGACTCATAAAACCGCCCAACGAATATAAGATTAATTAAGATAAAACATATAAATCATATTATAAGTAGGTGTATTATTGCTTATGAATATAGAATATGAGTATAGAAGCAGAATTTTGTGACTGGAATAATGAATCTCGCATTAGTTGTCAAAATATACTTATATGAATTTATAAAACTCTATTATAATAGAAACATATCACGCAGGTCATTTATAATACACAAAACTTGGCTTAGATTAAAAGATTACCATATGTTATAATAATTCTACAAGCATATTTCAACATTTTTGGGAACTTGATTACTAGAATTACGTGCTGGATACGATATTTTAAAAGCTTTTTAATACCAGGTTAGACGACCATGTGATTTATAAATAACTGGCACACACGTATTAATTCCAAAATTTTATGGTATGTCTAATCAATAATGTCAAGTATCAAAATGATGTCTTAACATGTGTAATTAATAATGGATAATATATGTCCTGCAAGGGCAAAGAATAGATAATAGATTTCAGTATATGAATAATTAATGATTGTAGGATTAATGGAGGGCCAAGTTCCTCATAACTTGTTTAAGAATTTTTAAATAATGTTGATTTTCCTCAAAGCCTTAGAAAATTTAGTTTTATATTTTTTATAAGTTTATTATATTGCTATGATGCATATCTCCAAATTCAAGATTTTGTATTATTGCGCAAAGAGTTGCAAAAGTTTTGATATTTGTTATAACTATTTATATGAAGATATTGAATAATTAACAAATCCAAATGGTCCAGTAGACATAGAAATGTTTTTGAATAATTCAATTTAAATTGGCAGAAACCTTTGCAAATGCATTTCAATTAAAATGCACGTTTATTTTGTATGACCAGCAGTTTTTATTTTTAATTGAAAGCTATGATAAAACAGTGTTCAAGCAAATAATTCTATTTTGTAAGTTATAAATTAAAAATTGCACTATGTCACAATAATACTAATTGTTTGACAGCCTAATACAGTGGTTCACAACCTATTTGGCACCGCATTCCCCTTCTTTAATAAAAAAATTGGTTGCGCCCCCCCTTAATTTGTTCAACAATTTAATTTTATAAATACTCAACTGATATTATCAGACTACAAGTTAATATGCAATATTATATAAAAATATGCATAAAAACTAATTATTTTTTGTTTTGTTTTTTATTATCATTTCAAAAATTTTGGGTTATTTTCGAAAATAATATTCTGGAAACAGGTGTATGCGCCTCCCTGAGGGTGCGCGCCCCACAGGTTGGAAACCGCTGGCCTAATATATATATAAAAAAATATTATTTTTTATTATCATTAATAATAAATTTGTATACCACTATTCTTTTCAACAAAGCGGCGTGTGTTCAGTGATGATTTGATGAAATCTGTCTTTATATAATATTTCTTATTTTAAACCTTTGGGTACTTATTTTTTTTATAATATGCATATAATTTCTAAAAGATCCAATAAATTTCAATATGATAAAATAAATAAACGTTAGTGAAAGTTTAGAAAAAAAAATATAAGGAAACTGCTTTTTTTACTTTTATAAGTCTAAAATGTGAATTAACAATATATAAACGTTATATATTAAAATATATCTAAATATAAATATAAAAAGTTTTCCAAATAACTTCAATTAATGTAGAATATGTGGGGCGGGGGGGTATTCCCAAAGGTCCAATTAGGCTTTAATTAATTATACTTTCTAAACCAAATGGACTACATTTGTTTACTATTTGTCTAAAATTTGTCATCTGTCCCTTTTTACCCCATAGACGGGGTAAAACGTCTTATTGATAACACTAACTTTTTATGTACTATTTTTTATTGCTTTTACCTTCACCAGGATATAGGTTCAGTTATTCCTTTTTACCCCACCTACATGTAAGCTTATATAGCGGTTATGTAAAAAACTGTCAAATCTATCTTAAAAATAATAATACATATTATAAAACAATTAAATATCGTATGATTAGAAATTATATTAAGGTCTCGTAAAAACTAAACAACAGTGCTCACAACCAAAAAAACTAATTAAAGAAAATACTTTTGTAATAAAATTCTAAACATTGATTTTTATCTCCTGATAGCAACGTCGTATGAATCAAGATGATGGCTGGTTATACATCCTTTGCCCTTTACTTTCAAATATTATTGTTAAAAATTCTTATCATTACTTGTTTTTAAGATATCAGTGGTGGATCTTATTACAGACGAGCTTTTAAGCAGGCTGCTTGAAAATCATTGAAGCAATATTAGACAAA